TGGAGGGACGAGGCCATGGTCGGGGGCAGGTACGGGGCAGAGGGGCCGAGCCCGGGCGGGGAGTCCGAGCTGGGGGTCAGTGCCGATGACCCAGGGGGCCGAGGAGGAGGAGGAGGGTGCAGCGGGGTCCTCACCTGCGCACGGGGGCGGCGGCTTCTCGCACTCGGGGCTCATCGGGGCGCCCCCCCCGCCCCGCCGCCGGCGGCTCCGGCCCCTACTTCGGGGCTCGGTAAACGGGGGCGGGGGGCGACACTGGGGGGTCTCGTGGGGTGCTCGCCGCGCAGGCGCCTCCTCGGCGGGTGGGGGTGTCGCGCGATCGCGCACGCGCCTTCGGGTCGATCGGGGTTGGGGGGCCCCCGCGCGCCGGGCTCCGCAGAGTTCGGGGGTTGAGCGCGGGGTCGGTGGGGTGCCGGGGGGTGGGAGGGGGGTCACGGGACCCGCGCAGGCGCCTCTGAGATTCGCCGATGAGGAGCCGCGGGCGATCGAGCTGGGCCGCGCGAGGCCTCGAGCGGGAGCCGGGGGACAGTCACCCCTGGTTTCCGCGCCCCGCGAGAAAAAGCAGCGGGCGGACGGACAAGATGTCCTCCTCCGCGGCCCAAACGGCCTCGGCGCCGAGCGGTCACCGGCGGAAACCGAGGCCCACTTCCTCAACCCTCCCTTCCCCGAAGCAGCGGGGCAGCCGGCGCCTACAGTCCTGCTCGGGCCTCCGCCGCCCGGTTCCCTCCGCCACTATCCCACAATGCCCCGAGCGCTGGGAGGCCCCGCCCTCCCGCGGTTTCCTGGTGCGCAGGTGCGCCGAGGACGCACGGCCGCGCCCCGCAGTGCGCATGCGCGTCGGGGACCGCCCCCGCCCCCTTGGAACGCCGCCATCGCCGCCGCCGCGACTGCGCTTGCGCCTGAGTGTGCCAACCGTCTCTGCCCTGATAGATGCACCCGGGTGGCCCAGTGCGCAGGCGCCTCTGCACACCCAGGCGCTTCTCGGGGGGACTCGACTCCGGAATCCTATGTAAATCCTACGCCGAGCTTTCTTACTCGCTCTTCTATCCTGGGTCTCCTCCAGCCGCCTTCCGGTTTGGCTCTGGAATCCTGCTCCGTGGAAATCCACCCCGGGCTTTTTCTTTTGGAAGCAACCTGGTCTTTCCCACCCGGGCCACGTGGTTTGGTTCCCTCTTTCCTTGACTCCTATGACCCTCCTCTGTTCCTAGTTGCTGGACTTAACCTTCTTTAATAACATCACCGGTAAAGGTCTTCCTAGACTTTGTCGTTCGTCGAGTGGACTAGGAATCAGCGATCCCAAGATCGAAATGTTGCCCTATTATGTCATCCTCCCCAACTCTTTTTTTAAAGAGTGTGTGTGTGTACTGTCAAATCGGATCAGACAGGTACAGGAGGAGTTTGTCCCTTGAACCAAACACCTTCAGGATTGCAGTGCAGCTTCTTGTCACCAGGCCACCAGCGCTCCCTCCCCAACTCTTGATAAGCTGAAACATTGTGTCAGTCCACCTTTTTTGAGGGTTTTCCTCTCCTTCTGTGACTCAAGCTTTCCAGGAAGTACCGGCCCCTCCTGACAACATGCCCAAGGTATGCCGTGTTAGTGTTTGATAACTATTATTAACTGAGTGGTGTTTTAAGCAGCCGCCGTGTCTGTCATTCCATCTTGCTGGAGGTCTTCTCTTTCACTGATTGTCTACGAAGCATGATGTCCTTCTCCAGGGTTTGGCCCCTTCCAGTAACGTGCAAATAACGTGGGAGGGGGACACACACAGATTCGACACCTCCTTACAAATTCGTACTTTCTAATGCTAGCAATATTGTCTGCCTGCTATTTTTGTTGTTATGTGCCGTCGAGTCATTTGCGACTCATAACGACCCTATGTACAACAGCCCTGAACCCTGCTCTATCCTGTGCCAATCGCATTGCCTCTCTGACACACACATCCCGATGACCCGTCACTGAATCAATCCACCTCATAGAGGGTCTTCCCCTCCTGTGCTGTCCCTCCACCCTCCCAAGCATGATGTCCCTCTCCAAAGACCTGTCTCTCCTTGCAACATGTCCAAAGTATGTCAGACGAAGCCCCAGAACCTTTGCCTCCAAGGAGTAGCCTGGTTTAACCCTCTCCAGGATGAATCTGTTTTTCTTGGCAGTCCATGGTACATTTAATACTCTTCTCCAGCACCACAGCTCAAAGGCGTCAATTCTCCTTCTGTCCTCCCTAGAGGACAGCTCTCTGATGCATAACAAGTGATTGCAAAGACCATGGCCTGTATCAGGCGCACCTTCGTCTCCAAAGAGACACTGTGCTATAGGGAGCTAAAAAGGGCTTCCTAGGTGGTACAAGCAGGTAAAATGCTCAACTGCTAGCCAAATAACTGGCTGTGTACTGCTAACTGCAAGGTCAGAGGTTAGAATCGCCCAGCGATTTTGAGAAGAAAAATGAGACAGTCCGCTTCTGTAGCTACCTCTATCTTAGAAATCCTATGAGGACATTCTCTTCTGTCCTATAGGGTCACTATCAGTCAGAAGCTAGAGATCTGGGTGTTGTGTTTGGGTTACCACTGCACTCCCGCTCAGAAGATGAAATGAGACACAGACTCTCGATGACAAAGAGAATATTTTATTCTGCCCAAGTCCTTGATGGCTGTCTTCCTCTTCGCGGCTCTCTCCCACGTCTAGAAAGATGGACCCTCACCCACTGCCTTTACCCCCCACACCCCGAGAGGAACAAAGTGGAGGAGAAACAGCTTTATTGGAAGAGCAGTGTGAATGTGAGCGGTAGGGTTCCAGGAGCTGCGGCCTCTCTCACTCCCCCATCAGACAGCTGAGCAGAGACGGACGGACTGACAGCCCAGACCCAGGCCCCAGTGAGCCGGGCCCTGGCCTCCCTCAGGAGAGAACCCCTTGGGCGAGGAGGGAGGTGGGGGCCCGAGTTCCCCCAGGAAAGGGGCCAAGAAGCCACAGCGTTTCACCGGTCCATGCTGTCATCCGTTGGGGTGGAGAAACAGATCTGTAGCAGCTTTTCACAGAACTCCAGCTCCTCCTGGGTGTGGGGGCAAGGAGGGGACTGAGCCCTTCACCGTCTACCCATCACGTGCCCTCTGCCCTCTCAGCGTGCCCTCTGCCCTGAGTCTGCCCTCTAGCCTCCACCATCCATCTGCTCTGTGGCCTCTCAGCTGGTCCTCCGCCCTCCATGTGCCCTCTACCCTCTCCCTCCCTCTGCCCCCGCCCCGTGCCCTCCACACCTGATACTCCTCGTGCTGCTGCAGCAGCTGACAGCGGTGGCGGAGCAGCTCCTCCAGGCCCAGCTGGGGCTCCCGACACTCACGCACGCCCTGGGGGAAGTCTGTCACCAAGCTGGGGGGACAGGGGCACCCTCAGCTCTGCTGCCCACAGGAGTTCCACGGCCAGACATGCCTGACTCAGCAATCCAGCCCCGGTCGACATGGTGGGAGCCTCAGAAAGCCCTTCCCCACAGGCCTGGCCTTCCCCCTCTGCAGACAAGACCTCCGCCGGCTGCAGCGTCACACTGACTTGCAGGCGGGCTGCTTGTGGCGCTGAGCTGCACCCTGGGGCTTTCAGTGGTCATTTCCAGACGCAGTGCCCCAGGCCCTTCAGCTGAGGCACCTCTGCTGGACACACAATGCTGGCTGCTGGACCAGCAGCTGGCTCTCAACCATTCACAAGCTCCACAGATACCCTGACATTGTGGATCCTGCCCCAGACCAACCAGGGGGACCCTGCCACGCTGCCCCATGGAGTCTTGTAGGCTAGAGTGTTTATGTGCGGGAGGCTCTGCTGGCCTCCAGGGAGCTGCACTAACCCACAGGCTGCACCTCTGGAAGTTCAAATCCACCAGTGGCTCTGAGGGGGAAACATGGGCAAGCTCCTCCTGTGTGATTTACAGCCTCAGAAACTTGCTGGAGGGCCAGGCATGAACTGAAAGCAATGAAGGTTTTCTGTTTTTATCTTTACGGGAATAAATTCCCCAGGGATCTTCTCACCTTTCAGTGTGTATCACCCAGGCAACCCCTAGACGCCCCCCACCAGCTGCCATCGGGTCAACGCCAGCTCTGAGATGTGCTCTGTAGGGTGGTCAAGGCCGTGACCTTTCAGGAGCAGATCACCAGGCCTTTTTTCTGAGGGGCATCTGAGCCTTCAACTTCAAGGTGAGCAGCTGTGCCTGCTAACTGCACAACTCAGGATGCATCTTCACAAACCAAACACAAATCCACGCTATCCAACTCACACAGCAGCTCTCACCTCAAGGGTCCGAGGATTCAGATCTTTCTAAGAGGAGACAGTCTATCTTTTTCTCAAGGAGTGGCTGGAGGATTCAAACCACTGACCTTTTTGGCTAGCTATGTGACAAGCAACACACTACGTACACTGCCCAGACGCCCTTCTCTAACGGATCCTAGAGACCCATGAGGACAGAGCTACTCTGTCTTTCAGGGTCCTGTCAGATGGCAAGAGGGAACTCTGGAGCTCAGTGGTAAGGAAGTGTGCTGCCAACCCAAAGGTAAACGATTCCAATCCACCAGCTGCTCCGTGGAGAAAGATGGGCAAATGGCTCCCATGCAGTTCACTGCCTCTGCAAACCTGCAGGAGGGCCGGCTAGGGGGCGGTTCCGAGCTGCTGGGACTCAACACTGACAACAGATCACTAGGCATTGGAATCTACCACAGGGCAGCAGGATAACGTGCAGCATGTGCTGTGGGTGTGGGTGAGAGACAGGGTGCCCTCTCCCTGTGCAGCCCTGGACTGCTGGACCAGCCCGTTAGCTGCAACAGGTCAATTCCAACCTAGGATGTGGGTGGGAGACAGGGCGCCCTGTCCCCGCACAGCCCTGGACTGCTGGACCAGCCTGTTAGCCGCCCAGGTCGATTCCAGCCCCTAGGATGTGGGTGTGAGACAGGGCACCCTCTCCCCGCACAGCCCTGGACTGCTGGACATGCCCATCAGCTGCCACAGGTCGATTCCAGGCCCTAGTGGTGAATATGTGCAGAGCAAATGGCCCAGGTAGGGTCAGCTAGTGGTGCAGAACTTAACCACTCCACTTCCCAGGGAAACGGAGGCTGAGTGGGACCCCAAGTGCCTCTCCTTCGCCCAGACTCCTGAGCACTGCTTGGGAAACTTGGGGGGTCCCTGCCTTCACCCAGCTTACCTGCACAGGGCTCCGAGCACATGCTCGTGGAAAGGGCTGTGTTCTGTCCGGATAAGAGCCACCAGCTGCTGGACCATCCCCATGGAACACAGAGTCCCTGGGGGTGGAACTTAGAGGGTCAGAGTGCTGATCTGGCCACCCCTGCCTCCTCCCAGATCTCCCATTCCTTCAGCTCTCCCCAGCCCTGCCTCATCCCACCCCTCCAGCCCATCCCCTGCCCCACCGTCTGAAGCCCCACCTTTGTGCTCAGGGTGGCCCACCAGCAGGTTCTGCAGCAGGAATGCGGACTTGACCTTGAGCTTCTGCACCTGCTGCTGCATGGCTCGCATGAGCACGGAGAAGCCATCCAAACGCAGGAACTGCAGCAGCCCTGCCTCCTGCTCCCGGACCAGGCCTGGGAGGTGGGGGAGAGGAGGGTGGGGATAGGAGAATGGGGGAGAAGGTGAATGGGAGAGGGAGGATGAAGAGGAGGAGGGTGGGAAGGAGAATGAGGAGGAGGAGGATGGGAGAGAGAGGATGGGGAGAAGGAAGATAGAAGAAAGAAGGGTGGGGGAAAGGCAGGGCCAGGCCATCACTCCATTGCCACCATCCTGTCCTCTCACACCCACTACTAAACCCGAATGCTCCTTGGAGGTAAAGATAACAGCTTCATCCTGCAGAAGCACTGGGCACGTTACTGGGCTGTTCCTTGGAGAGGGACATCAAGCTCGGAAAGGTGGAGGGTCAGTGAAGGAGAGGAAGACCCTCAACCAGATGGACTGACACAGTGACAACAGCATTGGGCTCGCGTGTGTCAGAGACTGAGGCTGGTACACGATAAGACAGGGGCTAATCTCTTGTTCACGGGGTTGCTATGAGTCACACTCGACGGCACCGGAAACAACTAAGTAAAGGTGCTGTCTTTCTTTCGAGCTGTCCTGGGCCTGCTATTCCAGAAGGGGCTGCCCAGACCTGCTTCTTAATCTGGAAGCTCCCTTAAACCTGCCCACCACGGGCGACCCTGCTGGTAATTGATATACCGAAGCTCAGCTTCACAGCAGCACACAGCCAAAAGGCCAAACCCGCTGCCGAAGGGCGTCCGGTGCTTTCACTGGGCTTCCACGTGACATGGAGACTCAAATAATGACCTGAGCCTGCCGGGGAGGATGGGCCAAGGGAAGGCAAGGTGCCCGGGATCCCGGATCGCTATTCCCAGAGGCCACTCGACGGGACCTGAGACCACCACCAAGTGCATATCCCAGAAGGAGTAACAGCTGTGACACACACTGACATACACACACCCGTGGTCACCACCACAGCCTTTAAAACAGAAAAACTGGTAGCAACTCAAAAGTGATTATCAACAATGGGCTGAAGCAACTACAGTCTATTCACACAGTGGAGAATTCCAGAAAAGGGCTCAAGGATCTGTGAAATACGGTCCAGCATGCTTGAGTCTAAAACTAATTATGCTAAGTGACATAAGTCAGTCACAAAAGAATGGTATAAACCCTTCCGAGTGTACTTGGCCACGCCCCCACCCGCCGGACCACGCCCATGTCTTGCTTTACCACGCCCCCACCCACCAGACCACACCCGTGTCTTGCTTTACCACGCCCCCACCGGCTAGACCACGCCCATACCTTGTTTGCCACGCCCCCCGCTGAGCCATGATTCTGGCTTGTCTTGCCACGCCCCCACTGGGCACGCCCTTCTCACATTAGGACACACCCCAGCCCCGCCCCATCTGGTCTGGTCACGCCTCCTCCCGTCTGACCACGCCCACACCTCCTCCACCCCGCCCCATGGCCCCTATCCTTTCGCCAGGCCCCGCCCCGTCCAGTCCCACTGGACCACACCCCACCCGCAAGCAGGGACTCACAGGAGATGGCGAAGAGGGCCTTGACGCGCACTGTGTCACAGGCGTCCCGGTCCAGCAGCCGCAGCAGCTTGCGCAGGGCCCCGAGCCCCAGCACCTGCTCCTGGATAGCCGCCACGTTCTGGCTGCACGTCCCGATGAGCTGCGCTGCCCGCCACCGCAGCCCTGCTGCGCCCGCCTCCAGGTAGCGGCCCACCAGCAGGTGCATGCCCGACAGCTGGCAGAAGTCTGAGAGGAGAGGGGGAGAGGGCCAGGAGACGGGAAGAGGCTAGAGGGGTAGGGCTGGGGCCTCCCCAGGAACCAGGGCTCAAGCAGGTGGACACAGGGAGGAAAAGGGGGGTTCTCTGCAGCTGGGCGGCTAATCAAAACGCTTAGTTTTAATTCAATCAGATGCACCAACCTTCCAATCTGCTTTGGAAAGTCAGCCACTGAGAACCCTATGTCTGGAAATTAACCTTAACTGCTGTTGGGTTTTTAACCATCGTTGCCAGGAGCAGTCAGGCAGTGCCTTTTTTTAAAATGTTTTTTAGTATTGCACTGAGAAGGTCCACTGTCAAAGATCCCTCCAAAACACTGATGCACAATAATAGCCACAGTACTAAAAAGCAGCGATGTCAGTCTAAAGACTAAGGTGCACCTGATTCGGGCCACAGTCATTTCAATCCCCTGCTACACTGGACACTGACTAAGGATGACAGAAGAATTGAGTTGTGGTGTTGGAGAAGAGGACTGAATATCCCATGGACTGCCAAAAGAACAAACTGATAGGTCTTGAGAAAGGTGCCGCTAGAGTGTTCCTTACAGGCAAGGATGGAGAAGCTTCACGTCACGTATTTTAGGCAAACTGACTATTCCTGGGAAAGGGACGTCCTGTTCGGAAAGGTGTGGGGGGGGTCAGCAAAGGAGAGGCAGCTCCCCAGTGAGATGGCCTGACAGTGGTAGTGCCAGCGGGCTCGAGGGTGTCAGCAGGTGAGGATGGCTGAACAGGACAGGGCTCAGGTCTGTGGTTCACAAGGTTCTCATACTCGTCTCAACAGCCCCTAACAACTACAACTGTCGAGTTCTAAGAATTGAGGGGTTCTTTCGGATAATCCCAGGGGAATAGTTTCAGGGATTAATCCAGGTTCCGCGGCTTCAGAAAGTCCGAGCTCCAGGGAAATCTGCTTCTGTAGAAGCTTTGTTCAGTCACGGTAGCTGGGCTCCCTCCCGCTGCTCAGGTCTCAGGACGGAGGCAGCTACGTGGAGATAGGAAGCCATACCCCCTATACCCCCCTTGAACCACACACCCTCAACTCCTCTCCTATCCTTGAACCTCTTTTTCCCTTGGTTGTTCCAAGTGACTTGAAGCCAGTGTTTTGGCTTGGACAGCTGCTTTAGCGCTTTCAAGGTCCCAACCACCGTTCAAAGACCTCGGAGGCAGAACAGATGCGCTGAGCGTGTCATTAGCTCAATTATCTGGACCTCCCAGGAAACCATGACCTCAGACTTCCAATGCCTGGGATGCTTTCTCCAGAGATAATCCCACAGGTTCCTCTATCACTTCAAACCCTAGGTTGGGACCTTCCCTGACACTTCCCTAAAGCAGGCTCCTGGGAGCGGCAGTGGACAAGGAGAGAGGAGCAGATCCCAGGTCCCCCCAGCAGGCCGGCGGTGAGGGTAACGACGGGAGTGAGAGAGGGACGACACAGACAGAGCTGAGTGCACAGAGTGGGGTGGCAGCCGGAGGTGGGACAGCAGGGGCTCACCGGCAGCATTGTCCATGTTCTCGCACAGGTCGGCCAGCAGCTCCAAGGCGCCCTCTCGCTCCTGCTGGTCAGATGTCAGGTCGGCCTCGCCGGCCGCCGGGGGTGTGGGCTGGGACAGCACGCGGAGGCAGCCCTTCATCTGCTCCACCTCCTCCCGCTGGCCCCGGAAGGCGGCCGACATGGCTTCCTGCAGCCACTGCCGCCTCTGCAGGCCAGGCCAGGGCAGGACAAGGGGACAGGGCAGGACAAGGGGACAGGGGGATGGGGGAGAGGAGGCAAAGGGCTGTTAGCGGTGAGCAAATGAACCAGTTAATGAGCCTTAAGTCACGACAATCAGCGGTGGAGCGCTGGTACCCTTAATTAACAGTGTCCCCACAGGATAGAATCTTCCAGACACCAGGGGTGCAGACAGACAGACAGACATGCCTGCCTTAGCGACTCGTGTTCTGTGGGGGAGCCCACCCCAACTCCCAGAAGCTCTGAAGGACAGAGCACAGCTGCCCACAGGGCTTCCAAGGCCTCATGGACAGAGGCCACTGCTGCATCGCTTTCCAGCAGAGAGGCCACTGGGTTCGAACCACCAACTTCGTGTTAGCAGCTGGCCGCTTTAACTACTGCACCATCAGAGCAGCTATAAGTCCCATGAGTCTGGTTTTGCTGTTTTGTTTTGAGACTTCTGTTTTGTTTTGAAACTGGAATTTGAGGTTCTGGTCCATGTTCTTCTGACGCCCACCAGGACTCTGACGCTGCCTGGAATGCGGGGTGGTGACCGGCCCCCATCTGACTCCTCTAGTGTCAGGGTAGAGCTGACCTAGGTCTTAAAAGGATCCACCTGGCCGCCATAAGGAGGTGTGGCGCGTAACACACCAGACTGAAAAGAGGTCAGCAGTTCAAATCCACCCACTGCTCCAGGGGAGAGAAATAAGTCATCATCTCTCCCAAAGATTTCCAGCCCAGGGAAGTCTGACTGAGGGCAGCTGTGAGTCAAGACTCCACTCAAAAGCAGTGTGCTTTGGCCTCTGGGTCTCTGACCACGTGCGAGCACACTGGGCACAAAAAGTAATAAAATTTTTTTTTTTAAAAAAAGAAAGAAATCATCTCTACGAGACCAGTCAGCAGGGGCTTTAAGCCAAAGATGAGACTCTAAAGGGGCAAGGGAAACTGGATTCATGGAAACGGGACAACCAGAGTGGAAAGAATGGGAACGAGTCGGTCACACACTGTGAAGAATGAAGCCTACGTCACGGAACAATCTGTGCAGAAATTGCTGGGGGACAACATCAACTGCTTTGTAAACCTTCACCAAAACCAGTAAAATTATATCTTTTTATAAAAAAGAAAAAAGAGAGAGAGAGAAAGAGGGAAGAAATTGAAGAACTAAGATGGGTCTTTAAGAGACCTGGCAGTGTGGATGAGCCAAGGGGCGAGACACGGGAGACAGGTGAAAACCAGGATGTTAGTCTGTCTGAGAAGCCAAATGAGGAAAGAAGTTCAAGGGTAAAGGAGGGTCAAAGCTGCTGCTAAGTCAAAGGAGATGAGGGCTGAAAACTGCCAGACTCCCTGGGTGCTGCAACAGCTAAGCACGTGGGCACTAGCTGAAAGGCTGGAGGTTCAAGGCCACCCAGAGGTGTTTCCAATAAGGTCCCAGGCAGGAAAACTCTACAGAGCTGTCTTGCTCTGCACACACGGTGTCACCACAGTCAGTCGACTGGATGGCAACTAACAAGAAGTGACCACTGGAAGCTTTGCAAGGCCCTGTGTTCAGGTCACATATGAGAGCTCCCCCTCCCCCGCAGGTCACGTAATCCATCTCTGCCTGTTTCCTACCTGCAAAGGTTACAAGCCACCCTGTGTCTAAGTGATGTAGCACGGTGTTCTCTGCACTGAATATTGCTCATGAAACATTACAATATCTCTTCCAGTAAGCTTCACAGGGAACTCTGGCGGTGTAGTCCGAAGAGAGCAACACTGCTGACCTAAAGGCTACCAGTTCAAATCCACCAGCAACTCTGAGAGAGAAGGATGGGCTATCTCCTCCCCTGAGATGTACAGCCTCAGATAACCTGCTGGAGGGTCAGGTAGGAGTCCACTTTGACTGACACCAATGTATGAATGACTAAGCCAGCTTTACAAAGAGACCTAGTGGGAGTGCGATGGTTAAGCGCCCAGTTCCTAACCAAAAGGTCGGCAGTTCAAACCCACCTACCGGTTCATCAGGGAAAAGAACTGATAGAGAGGCAGAGGCAGATCTGGAGAGTTCCCCAGTGCTGTCAGACGCTGTCACGTCACCTTTGACACACAGCGCTAGACGGACAAAAAGCAACACCTTGCCCGGCCCTGTGCTGTCCTTTCATTCTCTGTGGTGCCCAGGCCCACGGTCACAGGCACTATGTCAATCAGTCAGGCATTCTTCCGCATTTTCACTCACCCTCTACTCTACCAAGCGTCATGTCCTTTTCCAGCGACTGGCCCTCCCTGATGGTATGTCCAAAGAAATGAGATGAACCCTATGGGGAAGGTCTGCTCCATCACACGAGATCAAATGTACCGAACACCAACTGCAGTATTAAGCTTCACAACCACCTTACTAGGTACAGAGCGTTGCTATTCCTACTTCACAGGTGAGAAAACTGAGGCACTAGAGGGGCTGTGACTTTCCAAAGGTCACACGGCCAGCAACCAGCAGAGCCTGAAGCTGACTCTCATCTGGGAAGAAGTCTGTGCCTGAAACCTATGGTTTTTTTTTTAAATTGTGATTTTAACAGAAGTTTACAAAAAAGTTGGATTTTCTCATCGTTGTACATTGAAACTTTAATCGATCTTAATGAGTGCACCTGCTGCCTGAGTGGTGGACCCTGAAGGACCCTGGTTAAACTCTCCTACAAAGTACGGTGATCGGGGAGCTCTGGTGGCCTAGTGGCAAGAAGCTGCACTGCAATCCCAGAGGTATGCGGTTTGAATCCACCAGATGCTCTGCCGGAGAAGGAGGGGCCATCTCCTCTTGTACCAGTCAGATCCAATTTGACGGTACACACACACACACAGAAAATAATAAAATTTAAAAAAAAAAAAGTACGGTGATCACTTTCTCGGATTACCATCAATCTGTAAATGAGGAACTTGAAGCTCCGCAAAATGAAGCATTGTTCAAGGTCACACACACAGCTGAGCAATGTTAAATTTGGCTGTGCTATTCTCTAGCCCTGGCCCTCCAATTCTACCCCGCGGGGCTGAGCCGAGAACTGCCCTAGAGAACTGCCCTAGAGAGTTCGCAAGGCTAATCTGCGAGGAATGCCTTATCTGTCTCCCACAGAGTTGTTGCTGGGGGATTAAAACCTGACTTTTTTGTTGGTGACTCAGTGCATAATCTCTGCACCACCGGGCTCCCTCTGGCTGGAGTGTCGTTGCTTTTTTGCTTTTCACCACTAGGCTACCCTGCGGCACCCGGGCATGTGAGGTTCTGTGTCTTACCCCAGGGCGACAGTGAAATCTGACCTTCAGTCTGCAAAAACCTCCGCTATCAGGACCAGATCTGCCATGCAGGACAGACACACACTTCAAGCGACACTTTCCTGCCCCAGCCCCGCTTCCCAGGAATCTTTTACCTCCTCGCTCATAGGTTCCGGCGGGGGATCGGGCTCCTCGGAGCCCGCGGTGATGGCCATCTGCAGCAGACCTTGGAGGTTGCGTGGAGGCGGCGGATTGCCCGAGCCCCCCGCCGAGGAGCCGCCGGCCCCGGTGGAGCATCCCTGGGAAGCCGCGGGCAGCGCCAGAGGGAGGCGGCTGCCCCCTGGGCCTTGGTCAGCCATGGGCCGTTTATGGGAACAGAGTGTCTGAGACCGGGTGTCACCAGCGAGGCAGCTCTGGTCTCCTGACCGGTCGATTCCTGGGGGATCTGCCGAGGAAGGATCGTTTTAGGGGAGCTCGGCATCCCCCCATAACCACTAACCGCTCTGCCCGCATTTCCCTCGACCACAGCTCCTTTCTCTTCCTTCATCCCAACATGACCTTTGACCAAAGCCAGAAACCCCTCCCCTCTCCGTGGCAACAGGCCCCTCCCACTCGCCCTAGCAACAAGCCCCTTGCCCCATCTCCACTGCTTTCATTCCCGTCTCTAAGCAACCCCACTGCCCTGCCTCCAGATCATCAAGCCCTCTCTTTGGTCTCTTCGCCATCAAGTCTCCTCCTCCACCTCCAAAATGGGGAGACTAACGGGGTGAATCTCACCTCCCCGTGCCTCGAGTCCCTGCCGCTGCTAAAGACAGAGTGGACCGCACCTGACTCTCTTGGACGCCGCCATATTAGCCGGAAATACGCACGCTCTCAGCCGGAAGCACCCGGCGCCACCACCCAACGATAGGCTCGTAGACGCTAAGCCCTTCCCACCGGACCGGAAATTTAGCCGGCCCCAGCCTCTGCCAGAGGCCACACCCACATATGAACACGCCTACCACGAGCTGGCCAATGCCCTGCTCGAAGCCGAGACCCGCCCCTCATAAACCCCGCCTCCTTGCCCTATTTGCAAGCAAGACCTGCCCCTTCCCTGGTATAAACCCCGCCCCAGAGCAGGCTCCTCCTTGCCTGTGCCCTGACCACACCCATGCCCCCTTCCTGACCTAGTTTTAAAATCTGCTCCTCCTCTCCACCTGGTTGTGCAGCCTTTTCAGGCTCCACCCCGTTCTAGAACATTCCCTTCAGACCCCGCCTCCTGCCAGCCTCTCCCCGTTAGGTCACGCCTCCTTCCCAGGCCCTGCCTCCTAAGTCCCCCCCCACAGCTGAATCTTGAGACCTCACATTCTCGCTGACACCCCACATTCAGCACATAATCTATGCAGCCTTAGACCCTCCCCAGCACAGCCCAGTCTTTGAGGCTCCCCATTTATCAAAAAGAAGCTGCCTAGGGAGCTCTGGTGGACTAGTGGCAAGAAGCTGCAATGCAATCCAGAGGTACACAGTTCGAATCCACTAGATGCTCAGCTGGAGAAGGCTGGGCAATTTCCTCCTGTACCAGTACACATACACAAAATAATTTTAAATAAAATAAATAAAATAAAGAAGACTGATGGCGCCATGGCCAAAGCTCTCAGTTGCTAAGGGGCCTTCTCCAGTAGCTCTCACATTCTGTGGGGGTTTTTTCAGTTTCCCTGCTGACTTCATCTCAGTATTTCCCTCTTTTCTGTCATTCTCGTGGCACAGTCCAGAGGGAGGTGCGCTGCTCAGCCCAAAAGCTCAGCTCAAATCCACCAGCCATGTCAAGAGAGAAAGACGGGCAATGTCTTCCTGTGCAATTTACAAACTCAGAAACTCGCGGAAGGTCACACGTAAGTCGGTTCCAGGCGGAAAGTGATGTTATTATATGCTTTCGAGTGGACTACACCTCCGATGCACGATAGCTCTGAATTCTGCTCTAATCTGAGCCAATCTCACTGACTCTGACACACCCATCCTCAGTACCCCAGTCATTATGCCAATCAATCTCATCCGGGGTCTTACCCTCCTGTGCTGTACCTCCACTCTTCCAAGCAGAATATCCTTCTCCAAAAACTGGCTACATGCACAAAGTATGTGAGATGTTGTCCAAAATCCTTGCTGCCAAGGAGCAGCTTGGTTTCACCCTCTCCAAGACAGACTTGTTCTCTTGGCAGTCCATGGTATGTTTAATACCTGTCTCCAGTACCACAACTCAAAGGCATCCATTCTTCTACTGTCATCTTTGGTCATTGTTCAGATTTCTGATGCATAGCAAGTAATTGTGAAGAACATGATCAGGTGCACCTTAGTCTCTAGACTGACATCCTTGCTCTTCTGCACTCTGGAGAGGTCCCTGACAGCTGATTTTCCTAATGTAATTTGTCTTTTGATTTCCTGACTACTGGTACCAAGAGTGTGATTGTGGAACCAAGCAACCATAAATTGTTAACAATGTCAATGTGCCCCCCCCTTTATAATGGGCTCAGTGGTGAGAATCTTTGTTTTCTTGACATTGAACTTCAATTCATATTGCAAACTACAGTCCTTAACCCTCTGTAACAGATTCTTCAGGTCTTCCTCCGTTTCCTCAAGCAAGGCAGTGTCATCAGCTTAACACAGGTTGGTTGTTGATGAGTCTTCCACTAATCCTGATGCCACATGCTTCTTCATAAAGTCCAACCTTTCAAATGATCTGTTCTGCATACAGACTGAAAAGATATGGAGACAAGATGCATCACTGACACCCTCTTTTCCAGATTTTGAACCAATGCAAAGTTTCTTGGCTTTGTTCTGACGACTGCCTCCTGGTTCGAGTATAGCTTTCATGAGTGTTTTTCTTTAGAAGCTCTGATGGTGTAGTGGTGACGCCCTGGGCTGCTAAAAGAAAGCTCAGAAGTTTTAATCCACCAGCCACTTAGGCAGGAGAAAGATGAAAACTTACAGCCTGGGAAATGCTCCCAACCCCAACTCCCAGGCATTTTACCAAAGCAGTTAAATTTACAGGCTCCAAAACACAATGGACCATGCATGTCCATGAGCTGGAATCAAGGCGACAACAGTGGATTTGGATCTTGGTTTATGTCACTTCTAGGAGCCCTGGTGGTTCAGGGATTAAGCATCAAACTGTTAAAGTTTAGACAGCACAAACTCAATCCATGGAAGAAGGTATGGTGGACAGCGGTCAGCTTCCTCAAATGCTGCATACTCTGAAACTACTCTGTCCTACAGGGCGCAATGAGTCAGAATCTACTTGAAGGCAGTAGGCTTGGGAGATCACTCACTCACAGATTGTTCCCAAGTCCCACCTGGACCAGAACAGGGAATGCAGAGGCCTAGAGCCAGGAACAAACAGCCCAGGAGCAAATCCAAATTCAAAAACCTCCTAGCTGTCAAGCAGATCCAGTTCTGAGTGATCCTGAGAGTGTCTGAGGGGAAGAGAACACCGCAGGGTGTCCAGTGGGCAGGATTTTCAGAAGTTGATCCCCAGACCTTTCTGAAAAGTACCTCTGAGTGGAACTGAACTGCCAGCCTTTCAGTTAATAGCCAAGTGCTTAAGTGTGTGCACCAGCCTGCCAAGGACTCCCTGGGAGGAGCAGAAGGAGTGAGGTGGTTTGGGGAGATGAGTGGTCTACTCTGTAGAGACAGGTATCAAAGATCTGTCGTGCAGCCACGACCAGAATTGCCTCAATGGGGGAAGGTAATCCTTCACAGAAGTGGACTGCTGCGTCCGTCCCCCTCTGTCAGAGCAGCTAGTGGCTTGTAAGTAGCGAGCTTCACCATCGCACCACCAAGCCACCTTGTCACAGTCTCTGTGTTTACTGTCAGGCACCTGGACGTGGTTCCGACTCACAGTCACCTTACTTAAAATAGAACAAAACGCGGCCCAGCCCTGCACCATCCTCACACTGGCTCCTGTCCTTGAACTCTTTTCTGCACAATGGGCTGCAGGTTGAGCATTTTAAAACATTGGCGCATGCGCACGGATCAGCATCACTTGGCCAGAAAGAGGAATCAACTCCTAACACAAGCTCCTAATTTAAGGACCTTTGCTACCCTAGCGGGTAAGGAGTTACACTGCCAACTCCAAGGCAGGAGCTTCAAATCCACCAGCTTCTTGGTAGGAGAAAGATGGACAAGGACAATCTCCTTTTGTGCCGTTTTCAGCCTCTGGAAACCACGAATCTATTCTGATGCCACAGCCCACAACAGCAGTATAAACTACGACAGGGTTTGAAAACCTTGCGCTGAGTGAATTACCGAAGGGTGACAACTGTATAATTTTACGTCTATGAAATCCTTAAGACAAGGCAGATGCACCCAGACCAAAGTTTGATTTGTGGTTACCACGATTCAGAAAAGGAGGCCTTGACTACTAATTTAAAGATTGGTGGTTTAAAGCCAGAAGGCACTTCTCTGGAGAAAGATGAGGCCATTTCCTCTGGAAGTTCTAAGAAAAGAGGTAAAGTGTGTGGACCCACAGTACTGGCGAGAGGGGGCTGGAGGCAGCTTTCAATACAGATACCACCCCCCACATCAAGAAAACAAAAATCCTCGCCACTGGACCAAGAAGCAACATCACAATCAAAGGAGAAAAAAGTTGAAGTTATCAGGGATTTAATTTTGCTTTGATCAAAACCCATGATAGTAACAATGAAAAAAAATCAAAGGAGGTGGTTTTGCTGGGACAGATCTGCTGTAAATTCCTCTTCAAAGTGCTAAAAAGAGGAAGCTCTGGTGGCCTAGTGGCAAGAAGCTGCACTGCAATCCCAGAGGTGAGCAGTTTGAATCGACCAGATGCTCTGCTGGAGAAGGAGGGACAATCTCTTCCTGTACCAGTCGGATCCAATTTGAGGACACACACACACACACACACACACACACACACACATGCAAGATAATAAAAAGAGTAAGTCAGTCTAAAAACTTATGCCACCTGATCCAAGCCATGGTATTTTAAGGGTTTCCTATGCATCTGAAAGTTGGGCAATAATTAAGGATGACAGAAGAACCGATGTCTTTTAATTGTGGTGTTGGGGGAAAGTATTGGACGCATGGTTCAAAAGTCAGGAAAGGTGTGTATCAAGGATGCATCTTCTCTCCATACCTTTTCAATCTGTATGCAGATCATTTGAGAGGCTGAACTCTAGGAGGAGGAATGTGGCATCAGGATTGGACGAAGACTCATCAACAACCTGCATTATGCAGACGGCACAGCCTTGCTTGCTAAAACTGAAGAGGACGTGAGGCATTTGCTGCAGACTGTAGTCTTCAATATGGACATAGATTCTCACCACTGGGCTGATCAACGGCTTCATGATGGACAGAAAAGAAATTGAAGTTGTTGGTTGTTGCAGACCGAGGGTTGAGTATTTTTATAATTATTAATAATAAGACAGACAACCAGGAATGAGATAAAACAGAGAGCATAAAAGATCCGGCCAGCAGTTGTTTTTTGTTGGTTTTTTTTTTCCGACCAGCAGTTCTTGACTGAAGGCCTGGATTCCAGCTTCCCTGTATCTTTATTAAAAATTATCAGGAAGTAAATCACAAAGAGAATTCAATGCAAATGAAGTCAAGCTCTTTGTATTGAAAACCTTCCCCTTGACTTAGGGGGAAGGGGTCAACAAATACAACGCAAGAATCTGGGAAATCCTTAAGGATCGCCTTGGTGCCTCAGGGTGAATTCTGTCCTGAAATAGCATTCAATTTTTTACTAATAATTAGTATTGGCTTCCCATAATTGATAACTTCAGCTTGCTTGGTTCCACAATCAACACTCTTGGCACCAGCAGTCTGGAAATAAAAAGAAGAATTGCATTG